ATGTTGACAACAAATGAAATTTTGAATGCTTAATACACATTCCCATCATTACGTATAATTTTTTAAGTGTTAAAGTCTCCATTCTCAACATTGACCATTATTTTTCTGACTTCTCTCATTAATATCACAACCTTATAATTATATTGATGTGACACTTTCTAATATTAGCCTATTGTCATAAAATATAATTATATCATGATTATTGCATCAAATAACATTTTTTTGCACTGCATACCACGGATAATCATAATTTTTTCTTTCAAATGAGCTCATTATCATTAAGTATTCTTTCATATAAGATTTTTGTTGTTACTATCAACCAGGTTAACGTATACCCTTGGTATAAGAAACTTCTTTCTTTTAAACTGTCTTTTTTTTAATGAGATATTCAAATCTAGAAGTTTCAGGGAATTTTGTAAAATATATCTAATTATGATCTAAATTTGTGTAAAATGTTAATTTGTGTAAAATATATCTAATTATGATCTAAATTTTGTAAAAACTATTTTTACTATTTTTTTACATTTAATTTCACACGTTAAACATGGTGCTGCAGCGAAAAATATATAAAGTATAATTTTCTTTTCATTTTCATCTGCTCAGCTCACCGTGTTTTTCTTTTTCTTCAATTTGCACAAGTTATGATATTGATGTTTGTATCATATGAATATGTGAAATTAATTTTTTTTAATAAATCAGTGTTATTTTATTTTTTACTTTGTCAAAATGGATCATTTAAAAAAATGCGAATACAATTAGTTAAGTGATATTATTTTGATATAAATTTATCACGAAAAAGTTATGTAAGATACACGATTTAAATACACAAGATATTTAAGATATGACTTTAATTCAATATATTTTAAACTAAATGTCAAAGTAATACAAATTTAGTTTAGATTTGGTAGAAGTCAATGATACTATTTTAATTTAAAATATTATAAACTAAAAATGTGACACTTTATATTTTTTTTCATAATAAAATTATGTAATTTTGTCATGACTTGTTCATATTTATAAATTTTTTAATTAAAAATTGCTCATTTGATAAATAAAAAATGTGTTATTTTGGTGAAAAAAAAAAGTCAAAATTAATTTTGAAGGAAAAATATTATTTATCGTTTCTCATAAGTTTATATTTTAAAAAGAAAATAATAACTATAAAAATATCATGTCGAAAAGGTTTTATATATGTTACTTTTCTTTAAAACGTTAACACGTTTATTCAAAATTCAAAAGAATTGCATGCATGTAAATTTTATTTTAAGAAAAAATACATAATATATTTTATTCAAAAGTTTACATAAGTAAACAATATTTTTACATTGTTTTCATTGAGTTGAGTGAATTATGCAATTTGTTGGTTTAAAAAGTAAGAAGTTGTTTTCATTTACTTTTATAGAGAATGAGAATAAGTAGTTGAATTTGACCAACCACAACATTAAAATAAGAGACACTGCTAAATTACTTTACACTGTTAAAACCGACTATTTTACTAAAATTTGTTTAATAAATTATAAAAATGTATAAAATATTTATATATTTCATTCATTTTACTTCTCTTAGATTTTAAGATTGTCTTCTTTAAATCAATATATTTTAGAGTTTTATGTGATTAATTATGCATTGTTTAAAATTTTAAACAGTTTCGCTATCTTAGTTCATATTTTTAGCTTTACCTGAATATATAAATTTTTTTAAAATACTTAATATTTTATGAATGGAAATGAATAGAAATTATAATAGCGATTAAACTGAGTTTGTTTTAATTTTAGTTTTATAAAAAAAAAACTAAAAGTATAAAATCTTACGTTTGGGTCGTAATAAAAAAAATTACGACATATATATATATATACTTTTTATTTTTTGACATAAAATCAATACTCTAAAAAATTGAAAGAACTTTTTAGTATAGTTCTTAGTAACAAAAAAATATTGAAAGAATAAACAAAAAATATTCTAAAAAAGTAATAGATAATTCTTATTTCTTAAAATGAATAGAAGATTCCAGTGGACTGATTCCAGAAATAAATTAGTACTTTTAGGATAAAAAGCTGGCCGAGTTGGATTTGTTAAAAATAATCAAGTTTGACTTATTTTTTAGTTGAATAAAGCAAAACCTGAAAACAATTATGAATTATGTATAATTAGGCAATAAAAAAACATTATTTAGTTATAGATAATATTTTTTACCAAGTCTTTTTATACGATAAATTTTATAAATTTATTTATTTTAGTCTTTGATCTGGTCAAAACAATTATAATTGATACCTATTGAACTTTACACCATAAAAATTTCTTATTATTACAATAAGATAAACTCATGTTTTTAAAACTTTATGAAACCTCGTCTTACAAATATATTAGTCACTATTTAAAATATATTATTATTATTTGTTAAAATAATCTCACTTAAGCGATTAATTTGTTTTGTGTATTCGCTAATAATTAAGGTCTAATTAATAAATGAACTTTAGTCATAAAATTGGAACCCTTAATACCATCATCACTTTTGAAAAAAAGTAAATTGTAATCATAATGCAATCTGGAATGATGTAATGTGTGAAATATAGAATTATAACTCAAGTCAATTATATACGTATAAATCATTAAATATGTGAGAATATATAATATAATCCAGAGTAGTGACTTTTTTATTTTAATAAACTAAAATTGATAATAATAATAATAATAATAATAAGTTTTGATAAATAAAAGAGAGTTAACTGTTTTTAATTTCTAAACTATTCCTTGTGAATTGTTTGATTTATGTTGATTTTTAATTAAGTCTTTTAATTGTGTTGTCCAATTAACTGTTTTTTTTATAGTCTTATTTAGTTATACTTTTATTATTTTTGAGTTTTAAAAAAATTAGAGTTTTGTTTTATTTGGTTTTTTGACTTAATTTTTATATTTCTTAACATTTGTATACCAAATGTTCATTTTTTTTAATCTAACAAAGTTACTTGTCCAATGATAAAAGAAAATTTAAGTGATAAAGAAGGAGAGTATGTATGAGAAAGAACCTATAAATGTAATACACAAGTGATATTTGAGTGAAATACGTAAAAAGTAGTGATGACCTGAATATATTTTGTTATTTGGTGTTACTAACTTTTCTGATAGGAATTAACAATATTGAACAATGCAACATGTTTTCACAAATTCTAAAAATGGTTTAATATATGGTTTAACCTATTCTACTCATCATCGGGATCATTTGGTTAAAGAATTTGAAAGTACCAAGAGAATGACACTAAGAGATACACACAATGTTTACAAGGAGGTCTTGTTACAGGATATGAATTTCTTAGTGTCCAAAATTGAAAAGTTGAATGACAATGTTGCTAATTTTAGAAGGAAACACAAGCACGATAGAAAATTGTTGCCAAGAAAGAAAATAAGTTTTCTAAATTCCACTAAATGTGAAGGCTATTGTCACGAAACTCATTAATGTCTTAATTGGAATGCAACTTTCATGACCAATGAAGACCTCAAGAATTATATGCTATATTTGAAAAAGAAAAAAGAAAAACATTACAAAAATTAGGTGTCTTGAAAAAAGACAAGAGGAGAAGCTAAAGAAAGCACAAGATAAGAAAACATTTATATAAAAGGAAACAAAAGAAATAAGAAAAAGGAAAGACAAAGAAAAGAAAGAAAGACAAAGAAGAGAACAAAAAGATAGAAAAAGAAGAAAAAAAAACAAGTATCTTGATTTGTCATTGAAAAGAAGTACTAACTCATTTTGTTTTGTTGTTTATGAAAGAATTGTTCATTAAGAAATAATGACAACAATGGGGAGAAGAAAGAATAATATTATATACTCGAAAAATTATCCACTCCATGAAAGGATAAGGAGAAATTTAAAAGTAGAGTTGCTTCTAACACTATCAAATATAAAGAGAATGAATCTTCTAATAGTAGACTTTATGACAATTTTCTTATATTGTTAAGCAAAAACAAGGCCACCTAAAACTTATAGCTGAAACATTATCTAGAAAAATCATACATTATTATTAAAATACTTGGATCTTAAATGTTTAAAGAATTGTATGTTGATGATTATGATTGTAGTTATAGTTGAGTTAATTTATTTATCGAATGGTGTTTCAGAATTTAATTATTTATACCGTTTGATACATTATAACTCAAATATTAGTCCAAAATGTTATTTAACGCGTAAAAATAATTTAATATTTTTAAATTTAAAGGAATATATCCATAACTTTTAAGATTTAAGATAAAAATAATTATATTTAGAAAAAACAATAAATTTAAAAATCATATAAAAATTTAGAAATTACAAAGATATATAAGCTTAAATAAAAGAAAAATGAAAGGAAGGGTGTTGTTAGGGGTGGAAAATGCAGTGTGAATGGTTTATAAGAAGTAGAAAAGGGGGTAGAAGAAGAAGAGAGCATTTAAAAGGGTAGAGAAGGAATTAAAGAAGAAATAAAGAAGGGGGGCAGAAAGTGGTTAAATGGGATGGACCCTACCAAACTCTCTTTGTGTGTTCCAATTCATCACCACAAACACCAACTTTCATTTCAGATTCAAGTGCCCACACCACTACTATCTCTCTTTTCTTCTTCTAATTACTGCCTTTTCTTAATTCCTCCAAATCTTATCTTTTCATTTACATTCCTCCTTAAATTATTTTTTTATTGACTTTTTCAATGTCTTTATTCATCGAAAATGTCAACGTTCCATTTTTTTTTTAATTTTATATAACTTTTTCGGAAACAATTAATCAAAATACAATCAAATGCTCAATATAACAATCTCTTTCACACCCACAATTTACCATCACAACTTTACTTTTTGGTAAGCATATAAATGAACATTTAATAAAGATGTAATAAATATATTTTTCACATAAACCTATTCAAATACATTAATTACAATGTTGAGTGGGTGATAAATGATCTAAGTGTAAATTGATTTGGATTTCTCCATCAACATTGAAGTCAATATAATTGAAAAAAAACACACCAATGTGAAATGTATTGTAATTTTTTCTTAACAAAAATCGAACTAGACTTGTGTTTCATGTAGTGAACAATTTGTGTACAAGGAGAATTAGAAAAAAAAAATATCTGTTTTTTTTTTTTCTTTATGCTGAAAGGAAAACGAAGAATGTGCACAATACCGCAAAACGAATAGAATGACAATGAGAATCACGGGTCGGGTCACGAAAAGGTAAAAATCAACGATTGTGGTTGACTCGTCCAAAATCTGCGAGCTTCCTGGAACGGTTTGCGCAAAACGACGCCGCGGCGGAGAGGTGAGGCTTCGCTGCTGCGGCCCTGGCGTCTGCCGCCGCGGCCATCTCCGGCGGCAATCCCTTGTGGTTCCACCTCCGGTTTGGACTCGCCCGAACCAGAGGACTCAGGCAAAGCGCCATACCAGAACCGGACGCGCTCTTTGTGTGTCCAAACCGCGATCGTCGAGCCGAAGGCGCGACCGTCGGAGTCCTCCGCCACCACGGCGAAGCCTCCGAGATGTATCCGCTTCCAGACGGCGACTGATCGCACTCGTCGCCGAAATCCTCGGTCCTCACGGGCGACATTCCGCGATCCGACGGGCGAAACCGCCGACGCGCGGCCGATGAATACTCCTCCGGCGCGCCGGTCCGATCCTTGTTCCTCCGGCGAGCAGGGAAAAGCGAGGAGAACCATGACGGCGACGCGTACGAGGATTTCTCGCACGACGGATCGGATTGAAACTTATCCGATCTGGACCGGAAGAACCTCGCGAATATGCGGAACTTGTTCAGGCGTTTCTTGAACGACCGCGAGTCGCCGTGGTACGCGGAATCACCGCCGCAGAAGGTGGGACCGAGCTGCGGAGTGCTGTAGAAGAGACGCTCGCGGCGGTCGTCGCAGCCCTGCCAGGCGGCGGCGTAGTCGGACTTCCGGCGAGAGACGTAGGGCGAGACGGAGCGAGGGAAAATTAAGGGTGGGGGAGGGTTGGGGTCTGAGGTTCTGGAACAATCGTCGGAGGCGCGTGAGATGACTCGCGTTAATTGGGCCTGAGGATGAAGGAGCTGGGCCTGGGCCTGTGCGGCAACGAGGGCTATGAGGCGTTCCCTGAGACAGGAGGCGCAGACCCCGACGGTGCTGCTAAGGTCTAAGGTATGTTTCTTGCACCTCATTTGGGTGTTGCATACGACGGCGTATTGGTTTGGGTTGCTTTGTTTGGCACCAGCATTCGTGGGTGTGTGAGAGAAGGAGAGAGTATGGTTGGTGCTGCAGAGAGTGAACTGAAAAAGGGAGATCTGATTGAGGATTAAGATGGCTTGGTTTGTCTTCTTAGAAAACAGAGAGAGTGAGGTTGAGTGAGAAAGTGAAAGAGGAGAGAGAAAGCATTCGTTGTCGTTTGAGTGTGTGTATGTCTGTGTGAAGAGTGGAACTTCTGCCCAATTCAATCGAAATGCTGCTAGATTGTATTATATTTCGAGCAGAAAAAGGAGGAGAGAGAATTAGAGACGCAAAAAGGAAGGAGTCAAATTACTTAGAAAAAAACATCTTATCCTTCACACCACAAAACACTCCACTTTAAACTACCTTCTCAAACTACTCACCTAGTATTTTCTCAAAATTATATCTTTCTGTAAATAAATTAATATTGGTATACTTCTTTTTCGTATAATTAATAGAAACCAATTAAACTTTTAAATATTTAATTGGGTCGTAAATCACATTTGGAGAAACGAAAAAGGGAAAATCAACAGTGTGATGAAAATAATTAGATATAAAATATACTTTAAAAATGAGAGTAGGGACAAATTGAATTGTGAAACTTAGATAGGTTGAAGAAAAGGATGGAGAAACAACTCTGGTAGTATGACAGATAAGGAAAGGTTCGAGCTGGACTCGAACACTCCATCATTCATACAACATCTTATTCTATCTAGATTATCTTTTGTTTGTTTTTATATATATGTACACTTTTTAATTATAGGGATAATTCCTTGAAAATAAGTTAATTATTGTACCTCCGATTCACTTTGTCATTGATGTTATTTTTTTGACAATTTTAGTTCTTAATTTTTTTTAATATCTGCATTTTGATCAATAAATATATATTTTTTGTGTATATCAAATGAATAGTTAGGTTAAAGTTGGATTCAACTACAAGAAAAAACAAATTGAAGATAAAATCCTAAAAGAATATCAAGGTCACAAATAAAAAATTAAAAAGTCCAAATTGTACCTCAAAAGAATATTGTAGTGACGGGCTAAGACAAATAACAAAACAGACGGAATGAAAAATATGACATCGTTTTGAATATGCCATATTTAATTTCGTTTTATGCATAATTAGTGAATTGTTGTAATTTTGATACACTACTGTTCAAACTCTACAAACATTATTAATTATCAATAAACTTTCATGCAAAATGCACTTTTTAAATATAAGTATTACACATGTCAACAATTTGTTATGAATGGATGTTTCTCTCTTTAGGTGTCATATAAAATGAAAGTAAAAACTTCGAAAATAAATTCAGAGTTTACAAGTGGTTTGAGTGAGATTGATCTAAAAGAGGAAACAGAATATATATGTATGTATGTATTTGGTCTTGACAGAAATGATTACGAAAAGAAAATACTAGAGCTTAAAGTAAAATAATGTTGTGTGGTATTTACCATTATTATTACTATGTATCTAACGTAATCTGATGTTTTGCTAACGACATATCTTGGTTTGTGGACATATAATTATTGGTTGGTTGAATCTTGAATATGTGGTTTCTTACCGTTCTCAACCCCAAACTTTTTAAAAACCTTTTTTATATTTCAAAATTTTGATTATTCTGTCTCAGACTTTTCCTTAATTATTGGTAATTTATATCAGTAATACGTATTCGTTGAATGACAAATAGAATATGGAAGAGCGTGAATTCCACGCTTCATGGGAGGCCTTGATTCAGTCAACGAGGTCAAACTTTGGCCTTTCGTCATCATGAACCAATCACCCTTTAACGGTAACCATCTTCTTTTTCATTGCACGCTGTAAGAAGTTGTGTCATTTTTTCCCTTTTCTTTTGGCATATGTGGCCCAAACTTTCTTTTAAAATTTAAATTAAAGATTCAAACAGACAAACAAACAAAACTGAAATACCAGTTACTTTGTCCAGAAGATTGAGTCAAACCTTTTTTTTTCATTATCATGAGATTAATGCAAACTATTTATAAGTTTTATCCATTACTATTTTTTTTTATTGAAAGCCTTACCAGTTAATTGCCTATTGTTTACTATCAATAAAATTAAACAAGAAGGCATTTTTAAGTTTAAGAATCCCATTATTAATGGTCTTCCTCGTTTGACTGGGAGTAGAATATTTTAACTAAGGTGTATTAAATTCACCGTTTCACTAATTGAAGCTGAGCAAAATAATATGGGGTGGTTGTTGACGATATTATTCACGTCGTGGTTTTGATTCTGACACATCGTTGGATATGCATATGATCTTCTGGAAAAACTTTAAGGGGTGGTTCGCCCTTACTTCCACGCATTTAGCTTATCAAGCCCTATTCATCCCTCTATCTATTTACATTTAAATTTTACTTCTTCTCACCTTTTCCACCCAATTTACACTGATAGATGTATGCAACCTGTGTCTTTGTTTTTCATATACATGCTTTGAGAAAAACAGAAGGTGCAAAAAATTAACCATGAAAATTATAATGAATGTATTAAATTTTAAAAAAATAATTAAAGAGAAAAAATAATTTAATTGAAAGATACTCACGCCCCCTTGTACTTGACTAATGCATGCATATTGTATATTGTCTCAGTTAAAATAAAAATAGTATGAGGATTTTTTTTAAGAGAGACACCGATAGATTTCATATTAATGAGTTGTGAACCTTTTGCATAAAAACACACTATCAACTCTTATAATAATGTGAAAATCTTTTTTTTAGAGAAAACATCCAAAATTCGATATCAATAAAAGACAAGTAAACTCTAAAAATGAGAGTTTGAATAGAGTTTAAAACTTTTTCACAAATAAGTATTATATTACAAGAGTTAAATGATCTGCAAGTAGTATGAACATTTAGGCTTTGTTCACTTGAATGGATTTGGAGGAAAGTGATTGAATGGATTTGAAAGGATTTGAAAATAATTTTTGTTCTTGTTTATTTGAGTGGATTTGAAAGTAGGTAAACTAAATTTTTTTAATCTGTCACATTAATCAAATCCTACACTAATTCTCACAAATTTTGCTTCCAAATTCACTCTCATTTACCTCCAAATTCACTGAAATAAACAATAAAAAAATTTATCTTCAAATCCTCTCAAATTCACTCAATCACTCTCCCCCAAATCCATTCAAGTGAACAAAGGGTTAAATATCTTGTTAGCGTTAAAAAGTCTTCTAAAACTAAAACAAGTGGAAGACATAATTTTTATATTGGTTCATTTCAGACTGAACTTTATCCAGTTCTCCTTTAAACACTCTTAAAGAGTTTCACTAATCTTTCAAAAAATTACAAATGAGTTTTACCATTCCTAATTTTACAAACTAGCCCAACTAGTTAGATTAGTTTCATCATATTAGTATAACACTAGTGCAATTGACTAAATCGTTAGATTCCACTGATTTAAACTAAGTATTTTGATTCACTTTTGAATCTACAAAATGATATATTTTGAAATACAAGTACAAATGTTTACTCTCTTCAAGAAGATATAAAATTAATACAAAGAAGATTTGAAAACTTGTAATAAAAATTTCTTTTTCAAAGATAAAGTTGAGATGACGTAAGCTTGAGAAAAAAAAATAGCCTAAGTGTAAGCAATAATAAATCTTGATTCTTGTTATCTTCTCTTTATGCAATTTTCTTTGTATATAATTTATCGAAAAAAAATCTTTAAAGCATTGACTTTCTCGTAGATGTTTAACCTTTTAGTACAATACCAAATGTTATGTTGTGTTTTATTGACATAATTGTGTTGCTAGTACAGAAAAGTCAGACAAAAGGCATAAAGGAAATATTCCCATAATATTTTCTCATATCTTAACTTTCTTTTTATCCGATGCAGATGTTGGAAGTCCCACATCGACTAGAGATAAGGCCAAATTATAATATATAAGTGAGGTGCAAACCTCACCCTACAAGCCGGTTTTGTGGGGTTGAGTTAGGCTTAAAAATCCACTTTCTAATAGCAGAACTTTTGAATAAGACTTTGTACCATCTTCACAGAAAAATAAAACACAACACAACAGACAAATAAGTATTTAATAAACCTTATTTTATTATAAGCTTTTGTTAAACTTCAAAACAAGATTTGCTTAGGCGATATTGTCTTAACAACCAAGATACCATTTTTAACTCCAAACCTTAAAACAATATATTTATAAGTTTTTTTTACTTATATATTAATCATTGTAGTTATTTTTATTCAATGTAAAATTTTAATTCATTTTGAATTTCTAACCAATAGAACATATTTATGAGAGAAAAAATATGAAGTAAATTAAATAAACTGAAAATTTTTTATTACAAGTTTTAGAAAAAAATATAGACAATCGATCCAAAAGCATTCAAATTTATAGTAAGAGTAGTTAATAAATACATGTGATTATTATCTTATTTAAGAAAAAAGTGTACCATCTAGCATTATTTGTCTTGTTTAAAGGCTAAGAGTTACAAACAAAATTTGTAGAAGTATAGTTCTTTTTCCCCATTTTAGGTATTTCCATGCTATTAGTATCATTGACTTCGAAGTCTCTTTTTCTGTGTTTTTCGAACTGGACAACTCATTAAGATCATAAAGGTTATGCAATACTTATATTGTTGTTTGGTAATAGTAGGGGAAGGAGACAGTTGTCTCTTTATATTTTAAAAAAATAATTAAATAATATATTATAGATAAGAATATCCCTACATTGCATAATTCTTCTACTATATCTCAATTTATTTTTGTGGACTAGATCACATATTTTTAAGATTTGATTTTGCAAATTTTAATCTAATATAAAAAAAATTAATAAGATCTACATTCTCATTAATGCGTTTAAATAATATTTTATTTTGATATTAGCGTATTTTTTATGAGAAAATCTTATAAGACTTACATTTTTACTTTTATTATTTAATGATAGATATTTAAATATGCAATAGAGTGTTAGAAGAAATAAACACATACCATGTCTATTGTGTTGCTACATAATGGATAACAAGTAATGTAATTACACAAGAAGAAGGCTAAGAGAAATACAACTAAATAAATAAAATAAAGTATTGACTGATATATGGTGGTAGTTAAAGAGGTAAAATAAATTAAATATGTATGCACTGAAACTTATTTATTAAAATAAACTCAATAATATTAGTAATGTCGCACAAATTTGTAAGGAAAATAAAATAAGTAAAATTTTAAATTAACATAAAATATCACATTATCGCATGTCTTGTAAGATTAAAAGAAAACACAACAAACTATTAAACAGCATCAATGCAAATGATAAAACTATTGTTTTGGCATTTGTTCTTACCTAATTTTGATGGGTTTTAAATTTTGCTTTGTT